TGGTTCCTAGTCTTTATTATTGTAAACAGTGCCACAATAAACATACGTGTGAATGTGATTTTATAATTGAATGTTTTATAATCCTTTGGCTATATACCTAGTAATGGGGTTGCTGGGTCAAATGGTATTTCTAGTGCTAGATCCTTGAGGAATCACCACACTGTCTTCCACAATGGTTGGATTAATTTACACTCCCACCAACAGTGTAAAATTGTTCCTATTTCTCCACATCCTCTCAAGTATATGTTGTCTCCTGATTTTTTAATGATTGCCATTCTAACTGGCATGAGGTGGTATCTCAATGTGGTTTGGATTTACATTTCTCTAATGACCAGTGATGATGAGCATTTTTTCATGTTTTTTGGCTGTATAAATGTCTTCTTTTGAAAAATTGTATTCTTATAATACATAGGACCTCAAAGCAATGTTAAACTGAGCAGACAATTTGGGGCATCCTATGTCTTGAGGGAATTCTTTCAATATTTTGACTTTAAATAAAATATTTACCAAATACTTAGAGAAAATCTTCAATGGAATTAGGAAAAATTCATTTTACTTAAGTTTGATAATAATTTTATCATGAATAGATATTGAATTTGATGTGGGAATTCAGTACATCTACTCAGCTGATTATATTTTTAAAAAATCTTTTATTCTGTATAAAACAAGTCTTGTCTTGTGGTGTATCACCATTTTTTACAATGCTATCATTATCATTACTTCACCATTTTGAATCTATTTTTGTTAGTCTGATTGGCCTATAATCTTCAATTCCTAGAATTTTCTTATGAAGTTTTAGTGTGAGGATATGAGAGTCTCATATAATGGGGTAGTAAAAAAAATTTCCTTTTTTTCTATTCTCTGAGTTTATGTACTACTGGCATTATTTCTCACTTAATATTTGACACAATTTATCACCATTGGGGTCTGGAATTTTTCTTTGTAGAAACATTCTTCATTAAAGATTTAATTTCTTTCATAGTTTCAAAACTATTTTTCTCATTTATTCTTGTGTTAGATTTTAAAACTTACATTGTTCTAAGAATTTATCAGCTTATAATATCTTCTTACTGCCATTTCAATATCAACTTCATCTGCAGTGATGACACATTTTCACCTCTAGCATTATTAGTGCCTCCCTATTAAAAAAAAAAATTGATGATCAATATTGCAGAATTTTATCAATACTATTAGCTATTCCAAAGAGCTAGCTTTCAATTCTGTTATTATTTGTTTTTCT